TGCTCCACTAAGACCTCCTCTGACTGCAAAGAATTAGGAGAATGCTTCCCCCAGGAGGAGATTATGCTGTTACTGCCCACAGCATGGTTTCTCATAGCTTCCTGGGAAAAGCATCTTGTATTGGACATGCTGGAAACAGAGCTCTGCATCAGTGGTGGGCGTAGGAGGGTTGGCAGTAGCAGTCCTGGTGATCACCAAAGCCATGCTGGAAGTAAAACTGACAGTGAAGCTGCTGGGGGTGTTCAGGAGCAGCACCGTTACCTCATGCTGTAGAGGACATGACCGTCAGGGAACACTCGCAGCATGATGTTGTCTGTGGTGGTGTCATGAATGAAGGACCTTTTGGAGTGCACAAAGAAGACGTCAGGGACCCAGATCTTCCTCACCAGCCTGCCATCGAAGGTCATGCTCTTGTTGGTGGTACTGGGAAATGAGAGACGCTCATCCTTCCAGTAGTGCCTTAAGTACAGAGTCATAGTGAAATCCTTCGCAAAAAAAAGGAAGAGAACAGAGAGAGGTCTGTCAGTGTTGATTACCACACCTAGAAGCACTGCCCTGCAGAAACTATTCTTCAGTCCTGGCAAAATTATCTTGAAGGATTATGGTATCAATAGCACCTGCAAGAAGAAAAACTTTCAAAATTAGCTTAATGGTCAGGCTAAACACTAAGCAATTTACCCCCAGAAGAACTAAACTGTTGAGAACAGCAACCAAGTGAGAGAACTGTTTTTCCTACTGTACGAGTGTATAAATAGAGCTCTCTTTTAAGCTCGTTGAGGGGACAGGAGCTTCAGTCACACAAAGGAAAACATCTGTTTGTTGATCCCAACCTGGCAGCTGCTGCTTTCAGAGCTGAATCTACTCTCTCATGCTGAGAGATCAAATACACTTGTTTTCTTTATGTTCCCAATTAAGTGAGTGGTTACAGGAGCCACAGCTTCCAAGCCTGGGCAGGCAGCAACACAGATTGGGATCTCTTCCTAACCACTCAGCAACTGCTTTCTAAAACCACCACCACAACCTCATTTTGCTTTGCCAATGGCAAGCCATCAGTGAACGTGACTCCCCGTTTCAAAGGGCTGCCCTGGCAAAAGTCTCACCAATGGGTTTTTCATGAATTTGTCAAAGAAGTCTCCAGTGCCAGCCCTCGCCTTGCTGCCCTGCATGGGGCAGAGCTGGCCAGACACCTCCGTCTCTGACCATGGCAGAGACCTGCTGGAGGGACACTTCTGCTTACCCACCTCTATAGACTGGTCCCAGCCTCCATCCCTGCTCCCCCCAGTGATGTTGCCAGCTCCTGTTCCCTCCTGGACACTGACCACCTTCCCTTTACAGCTACAGCCCCAAAGAAACTCTTCCAGTGACCGCTGCTACCAGTAGGGTTTAAGTTGCAACCTGGCTGGAGAAGCCAACCTCAGGGGCTGGACAAGGAAAGCACATCAGCTTGACTGGAGCTGGGAAAAAGGAAAGCAAGAAGAGGCATAACTAATTATTTCTTGGGAGTCAGTGTTGTTTACACCAAAAGGAAAAAAAGGGCTACAAATGAGCCTGGCTATACTGGGTCACCAGCCCTGGGCAGCCCACTGGCTGTGATGCAAGGGGAGGGCCAGGCAGCCTGAGGCTGGATGTCTCTGGGCAGCTCCATCATGGGAGCACAGGGGGACAGGGACCCATGTGGCATCAGCCATGCACCCCCAGCGTGACTGACAGCCACCACAGGGGAGGCACAGAGACTGCCTGTGGGGACAGCACGGGAAGGGTCACACCACTTCCCATGTGCGGCTAAAAAAAAATCCCACCAGAGAGGCAGGAGCTCTCTCCTCTCTCACCTTCAGCACCCTTCTCTCTCCAAACAGGCTTCCAATGACCAACACATAGGACACCAGGTGCTGCAAACATCAAGCCCAAGCAGCAGCTGATGATAGTTTCTAAGTACAAAATCCAATTTGTGGATGTTTTCTGGTGGTGTGAGTCAAACGAGGCAGTTTGCAATCCCTGACATCTTGCTCCTTTCTGACCAGCACACACATTAGTGACAAACTGAGAAAAGGGGTTTATTTCATCACTCATGAGGCGGAAAATCCCTTAAGAAGCAAGTTTTATGACAAACTGAGGAAATGATAGTACCTGCTGGAGGCACAGCAAATGAGCATACACAAGTGCCTCAGCTTTGGCAGCACATTTCATGTTTGGGCCACACTCTGGGCAGCCTCAAGAGCATCCCCCACCAATGCACACAGTAGCAGCCAGCGTCAGTCTAGTGCTTCTTTGGGACACCAGATGCCTGTTGAAGCAGTGGTAGGCAAAGGCTTCCTGACTGAAGGCACCCAGTTTCCAAGGCCACAAACCCTTCAGAGCCATTTGAAAGAAGTTCTGTCTGCAGCTCTGCCTTGCCTGCAATGGGGAGCTGAGGAGGGCACCCTGGTGCAGGCACAGCCAGCCTGGCTCCCCTGCCATACAGACAGCTTACTGCTCGCTCTCCTCTCTGCAAACACCCCCACTGAGGCAAACTGCTGGAAAAACAAACCAGTATAACCTAGACTGACATGGGAGATCATTCTTCCACCTCAAACACAAATCAGGAACTGCTGGGGAAAGTACTTGTCCTGTGCTGGGAAAATGGGACTGTGAAGCTGTCAACAGCAAAGGCTGAGATGCCCTCAAAGATTTCTGATGGCCAAGATTTTTGTTGATATCAGATGCTCCTAACAGAAAGCATTGCAAGTTATTTACTTACACTAATTAGGTCTTTTTGCTGCTACAACACTGTCATGGTTCTAATCTGGCCAGCAGCAAAACACCACACAGCCGCCTGCTCACTCCCCTCACAGTGGGATGGGGGAGAGCACAGGAAGAGTAAAAGTGGGAAGACTTGTAGGTTGAGTTAAAGGCAGTTTAATAGGTAAATCAAAAGCTGCACACACAAACAAAGCAAAACAAGGAATTCATTCACTGCTTCCCAATGGCAGGCAGGTGTTCAGCCATCTCCAGGAGAGCGGGGTTCCATCATGCATAGTGGTTACTTGAGAAGACAAATGCCATCACCCTGAAAGTACCCCATTCCTTCTTCTTCCCCCAGCTTTATATGCTGAGTGTGACGGCACATGGTGTGGAACATCCCTTTGGTTGGTTGGGGTCAGCTGTCCCAGCTGTGTCCCCTCCCAACTTCTTGTGCAACCCCAGCCTCTTCACTGGTAGGGCAGTGTGAGAAGCTGAGGAGTTCTTGACTTCGTGTAAGCACTGCTCAGGAACAACTAAAACATCAAGTGTGTTATCAACATTCCTCTCATCCTAAATCCAAACTACAGTATTATACCATCTACTAGGAAGAAAATTAACTTTTTCCCAGCTGAAACCAGGACAAACGTTATCTTGACATATTAGAGCCCCAAGTCTTCTTGCAACAGCCATTTCCTGTGCTGAAATCTCCCTCCCACACGCTTCATTGCATGCATCCCCCCAAACCCTTTCTTTCAATATTGAGGCAGGCAAGCTCCCTTCTTTTCATGAAGATGTAATTGCACCACAAAAAAACCTGATCAGCCTGAAGCTCTTCCTTTAAGTCTTCATGTTTTCCCTAGACCAGAGAAGGTATCCAAAAAACAGGGAGGAAAAGGCAGAAGGAGGAAAGAATAAAGAAGAAAAAAACAAAACAAACAAACAAACAGGAAAATGGTGAGAAGACTCTTTTTGCTGGGAATATCTTGAAACCCGTTGAGGGTTAACAACTGCATGCATTGTTTTATTATTATTTTAATTAATAGAAAAATAAAGATACTAAATCACAATTGAACTTGGTGCAAATTTTCCAAACAGCATCATCAGTGATGGGAAGAGTATTTCCCCACACCAAATCCCACTTTGGCAGAGACAATTCAAGCTCCCCCTGGAGCTCCCACTCACATGCCTCAGTGAGGTTACTCCCAGCAGTGAAGAAGCAGGAGCAGCTCCTTCTCATTTATGTCAACAACTTAATTTTCTAATGTACCTCACAGAATCATGCAACTCAAACAGATGGACTCAAAGGTTCCCTAAGGAAGAAAACTCTTGTAGTAGGTGTGGCTTATGTGAACTTCACCATATACCTTCAAACCTTTGTATGCAGCTGTTTTTATATATTTGGTTGTGATAGATCCTCCATAGCACAGATTATTCTCCCATTTAAGGTCCCTTTTTTCTTCACACTTTTAATCTTTATCTGAAGATACAGAGATGAGCCTTTGATCACCTGGTTTTATCAAGTCTTTAGTTCTGAGTGTCACCCTCTTTGAATTTGCCAAATGCTGCCATTATTTTCATCTGACCAATAATTTGGAATCCATAGGTTTCAAATGGGAAGGACTTTTTATGACTAGGAATAATTGAGACTTAAGAGAGGATTACTTACCATGTCAACCTCAGAAATACTGTCCAAGCTTTCAACTTGCACATCCACCCCAACAGGAATTGCAGGGCCTGTAGGAGAATGAGATTCAGATATGTAAATAACTGTTATTTTATATCGTCTGCATTTAATTAGCACCATAAGGTAGGATGCAAAACATTTCTGAGCTTATGTTATACTTTTCTGTCCATGATTCTTCACAAGGGGTCCAGGGGAAGAGTCAGTGAATAACCATGTAAAGCCCCTTTTGAAACACTGAATTATCTTCCCCTTGGCATGTGCTGCAAGGTTGACACTGCCCAGCTAATCCAGAGCTTGGATGAAACATTCGCATATGTGTTTAAAAGCTGAGCCATGTCATCATAAATTTTAGGTCTTTATGAACAAATTCAACCCCCAAAACAGGAGACTGAGGAGAAGAAACTGCAAGCAATGAGTTCTTCCTTGGGGGTTTCTCATTTCTTATCAACAAGACAAGCTACATTAAACTTTTTAGAGCCCATAACCACTTTCATTCATATGATTCATTGATAATATTATTAGTTTTCCAAAGCAGTTTTAAAATAAGCAACCAGAGAATTCACGAAGAGTAAATAAGCAGAAAACATCCCATAATAAATGCATACTTCTCTATTACTAGAAACCCTGTGTCAAAATTCCATGGCAGACTGCTACTTATTAATGACAAGGACCTCCTCAGGTTATGCAAGTTCCCCATAGTGTGTCCTCACACAGCTTTTTCCCTTTTCCAGTGCACTGAGGAGGTAAGTGCCTACAGAGACATGCACACTAAGCATGACCCACCAAGGCAGGTCAGCAGGAACTGCTAAGGAACAGTCTAGGTGGATCCACCGTTACTTTGAGCTGTCAGTGTGTGGCAGTGGGTCTCATAGGGCTCATGCAATGTGCATATCTGGAACATACCTCCAGGCTGGGCACAGTCAGTGAGACAGACCGTGGTGGAGGAAATAGCAGCTCTGCAGACATGTCTGGGACTTGCTCAGCAGAAATGAATTTTCCAAGGATTGTTGTGGCCTCCATGAAAGTTTGTAAAGATCTTTAGCAGTGAGATTCTGAACCTGATTAGCAGTTGGACAGCATTTAAGAGGCACCACAATCCCTTTGTAGATCCAAACCCATATTTGCACAGTGCTGTGCGCAGCAGGACCTGTTGCGTGCATGTATTTAGCTACAGTAGCATCTTCCTCAAGACCACATCCAAGCTCTGAATACACTGTAAGGCTAACAAGACAGCAGAAGTGCTGTTTTGAGAATGGAGAGCACTTTCACAAGCTGCCATCCATCCTGCTCCTGTACCTGCAGCAGCACGCACAGACTCCCATGCATCTTCAGGGCTTTTGAATACAGCTTTACATTTGCTTCTGCTGGAGGAGAAAGAAACACCAACCCAGCTTTGGTAGGTAAAGGGGATCGCAAAGCCCATGAGACAAGCTGGTTACTATGACTGGCCCTGGTACAGATTTTGTTTGTGCTCTGATAAACCAGTCTCACCGAATCACAGCAGAGCATGTCGACTGTGACACTGTCCCCCCTCTGCACGCTTGGCTCCAGCCCGTGGTGCCCATGCCATCCATCAGCAGCTGTGCTGAGTACAGGCACCCTGAAGCGAGCCCTGGAGCAGAACCAGGCTCCTTGACACGACCAATGCCAATTTAAGTGACTGTTGCCCCCAGCAATGAAGCTGAAACACGGCTAACCTGACACTTTTTGATGACTCCTAGATGCTTACAAACACCTACATGTCACATTCAGACACACAGCTGTGCGCTTCATGCTTTAAAAAAATGCCAACAAACATTTGCTCACTCCTATTGCTGTCTTGGTGGCGTCTGTCCAAGCTGAAGGCTGTTTGCAGGAAGATTTACTTGGGGAGAAACTCCAGTTAGTCAGTACTGGCATGTTTCTCAGGAGCCGAGAGACTTTGGTAAGATTTGTCCCTCCAATGATATTGGCCCATCGTGCTCCCTTTCAGTTGCTTATGTATTATAAGGAACCATCACTGGAGGGCAAGGAAATCGTCTCTCTGTTGGTGTTCAGTTCTCCTCTCTCAGATATACCCTGAAACTGGGAAAACCCACAAAACCCCAGTCTGCACTCGCTGATGAAATGCAGACGTGCTGTCACAACCACATCCAGTGATAGGGCTGAGAAGTGCTGAAGAATTTTTCCTCTTGCACACAGGGCTTCACAACACAAGTGTGCTCATTCAGAAGCAAGAACAGTCCCCAACCCCCTCCCCAAATTATACAGGGAATGACGCTCAGCAAAAGGTGAATTGGCATAGAGGAGCTTGCAGTGGGACCTTCTGTAAGACCATTCAGATCATTGACCCACAGAAAATTAACCCAGCCATAACCAACAGCAGCAACAGCAATTGGACTATTTTCTTTCAAATCAGTAACTTGAATCAGTGAATCACTGTCAGGTGACCAGGTGGGCCACCAGGGCCAGAGGAGAAAGGTGAGGAGGAGGACAGCAGATCAGAGAGTCCTCTGCTGTTGTTGTCACCAGCTCAGCTTCTCACAAGCCAGTCCCTGCCTGCCAGACCAGGAAACATTCTCAGTGCCTACTGATCTGGTCACAGGATGCAACCAACTGGTTGGGTTAGGTGACTTGTACATCAGTGAAACTGCCTTTAGTTGTTTGGGGTTTTTTCCTCTTTTTTTAAAATTTATTTTAATTACAAATTTGAGGGACAATAAAATAGTGAGTGCAATAGAGAGACAGGGAGAGAAATCATTTGAACTCTGGACTCAAATGTTAAGTTCTTAATACAGACAGTATGAAGATGAGACTTCATGGAAATGGAAATATTTACCCTGTCTTTCTTGGGCAAAAAATCCTACTACAATCAGCAGAAACAATCCCTACTTTTCTCTTCTCCGTGCTCCTCCTTCAGCACCTGGGGCTGAGGCGATGAGAAAGCACACAAACGGGAGTGAGGGCATGTTGAGACACCAAGACCCTTTGGAGGAGGTTTGGACAAGAGGTTGGGCTGAGCAGAGAAGAGTGGGTGAAGGGTCAGTGAGGCCAGCCCAAATGTTGCTGCCTGGGAGCTAGTGATAGGAATTGAATGATCATCAAGTCCTGCTCTAGACAAAAAGCATAACTGATAATTGCTTGTTTTCTTCACCCATTGCTCTTCAAAACTTCTACCAAGATGCAGTTTTGCAGAGGTACTTGAAGCAAACAACGTTGTAAACGCACACAGTGTCTGAAGCAAAACAGAAGCCCTGTAAAGAAACGCCCTCTTTAAACCACAGAAACAAACCCTGGGTTTCCTTAAAGGTCATCTTGGCTACAGCACATACCATTGAATTAAATGGCTCTCCATCAGTCACAGAAAGATGTCAAGAGATCTTCACTCTCACTAATCCTTGGAGTCAATTGGGAAATGTTAGCTTTTTAATCCTGTCCCTCTAGAAACTAAACTGTTGACCCACAGGGGCTCCAGGTGCTTTGTCAAATTTCCCATCAAATGCCACTAGGGATGAACAAACAGAAAAAAACCTCTTTATTGAGAGGTAGCAGAGGATGAGGAATGTGTGAATAGAATCACAGAATCATTTGGGTTGGAAGGGACCTTTAAAGGAAGGGAAAAGAACAGCTGAGATGATATCTGACACAATGAACAGGCAGACAGAGGACAAGTAACTTGGATTATAGCATTAAATGTAAAAAAGTCCTCATCAACTAGCTTTTCCTCATCATAAACAGTATTTTATCAATGTTAATCTTTAATTCAGAGAGAGGAAATATAGAAGGATCAGCCTGGAGAATCAGAAGCAGGAAAAGATCTGAATATTGTAACACTGGAGAAATCTCAAAGCTCAGGCTCCTCTCTAGGACATTCACTGCTGAGGCTCCTCTCTAGGACATTCCCTCCTGGATGGGAAGCTAAACAGATCTATGTGAAAGCTGTGGATTTGGCTGAGAAGAGGAAGCAGTGCTGCTTTGCTTAAAGATTGCAGCCCGGCAAAGCTTTTCAGCTCATACTTTAGAGTCTCTGAGCAGTGTCAGCCAAATTCATGGAATTATTCAAATTAAACATGAGCTCAAGTATTTATAGATCAAGGTCTAGAGAGAAATTGTGTAACCTTCAACTGAAGCATTTCTTCCAGAAGCAGCAAACATGTCAACATCCATTATCTCCATCACTGCCCACAGCAATATCTTGGAAAAAAAAAAAATAAAATAAAACAAAAAAAATCTAATTAAGCAGGACTGATAGAACAAGAAAGTAAAACTTGAACTCTTAAAAAAATAAAACTCACAGACTTCCACTTACAACACAGAAACAAACGCACCGACAAACTGTTCCCCCTGCATCTCAGACACAGCACAGTGGCAGCTTCCAAGCAAGCTCAAGACATTCACAGGGTCTTTAGCAAATTTGACAATATAGAAATTGGAAATGGAAAATAGGAGTTTTTCATTATGAGGGAGATATTTATATTTGCGTGTTGAGAGAGGATTTAAGTGACCTGAAGCACAAGATGAGGCTGATGGAAGCAGTTCTACTTTCTTGTATTGGGCAGTATCCATTGGTCCCCCTATTTCTGTATAGGATTTACAAGTGATACAATAGAGCACCCCTTACACCATCTCACTGTCAAGGCACCACCTCCTGAAACTGCATCAGCAACGTCTCATTTCTGTAAATTCCCACATGTCAGCGTCCTTGCCTGACATCAAACTTGGGTATTAAAAAGATACTCAGGGACCAGCCTGTCAAGACATTTGTGGCTCTATATGTCTTCATTCCTTTGCAAAGTTCACAACCCAATGTCCTGAGAATCACTGTCATTTCTCTTTCCCCTGCAGTAAGCTGCTGTTTTGTGACCTGCTCTTCAGTGAAAGCCATTACACATTTGACTTAGGTGCTGCATATAGAAAAGTTGCTGTACAGAATACCTTTAGAGAGGACCCACTTTGCATCTGCATTCAGTAGTTGTACAAGGAGAATAGACGGACCCAACAAGTCTCCATTTTGGGTGGGTTCTGACATTGAGAAGACTTTGTGGTGTGTTTCGCCTTGCAAAAATCACAA